AAGCAGAACTAAAAAATGTTTATATAATGTTAGTAAAGTTCTGAATTTATAGTGTAAATCCCGAATGTACGAAGAAACAAAAATTATACTCTTATGATAAATCCTAAATTTGCACTATAAATTTAAGATTTTATGAAGAGATAATCTGTATTTTGATACTAAATCTTGAATTTATAATGTAAATCTTAAATTTACAATATAAATCTTAAAACTACCACCGGCGATGAGAGAGAGAAGAGCATACAAATGGAGAGAGAAGAGAGAAGAAAATCCAGAGGAAAAGAGAGAAAAAACCAAAAAGAAAAAAGAAAAAAGGTAAAATTGAAAAATGAAAAATTCAAACCATAAAAGCCCTTTCATTTCTATGTATTAACGAATTGGTTATTTATTAACATAAATTTTAAATATAGGTCTATTTTATACGATTCCCCAACATCTAATTTGGAAAATTTGGTAATCAAGGACTCCTTCCGTACGTTTCACATTTGAGGACCAAAATGAGATTTGGTGACTAAAAATGACTTTAACCTGTGAAACATCGTATACACTCTGAGATGGATTCGTTATTGAGAAAATGTATTCTGCTTCTTCTTTTTCTATTTCTGATGCCCACTGTACCAATAAATACCAATTCAACTAGTATAGTTTTTTTTTTTTTTTTTTTAACTAAACAAAAGCTGAAATTTTTTTTTAACAAAAATAACACAACAGAAAATTCAACTGGTATAGCTCAAAGTTCAGCATTAAACTAGCATTTAAAACAAAAATGTCGTGTATTTATTTTTTATTTTTTTAATAACATATTAACAAAAGTAACAGTAAATGTTACACAATAACAGAAAATTCAACTGGAATAGCTCAAAGAGCATTTAAAACCAAAATGCCGTGTTTTGTTACTTATTATATCACACCAAAATCCACAGTAACCAAACCAAATAATAAATTGAAGGTTACGGAAGAAATAAAAACGCTTTTTTGTTTTTGGTGAGTATGAGCGGATAGTATCAAAATCTCCAAATTTTATACATCCAAGATAAAGAAAAATCCACTGATGCAAATAATTAAAAGGGGTTAACAAAATTCCTTGAATATAGAGCGTATTGCAAAAATGAAGACAAACAACCGCAAAGGGAACTCATCGCCAAAACCTGCTTATCAAACCCTTTTTATCTTTCTTCATCCTATTCTCAAGAGATGGAAAATCGATGAAATTGTACGCAAGGTCCAGGACTATAGGATTACGAGGAATTGCTCGAAAGGCCGGAGGGAATGCTTCAATCCGCGGTGCATTTTTCACCGTTGAATTGCCAACAGCAGACTCGTACATCTCAAGTTTCTCAAGGAGGAATTTCTCCACCTAAAACACATGCAAATCAGCACACTAAAGAAATGAAAAATCTACACGCAAGCACATACAAGTATCTTTTTATCCGGGAGAATTTTAATAAGCTCAGACACCAAAACCCCCAGCCCAAAAAGAAACGCGCTTGTGAAAGACTAATTTTAGTTTCACTTGTGCCAAAGAAAACTGGAAGTTTTAATTATACGACTTTCCAAGCCCAAAAAGAACACGATGAAGAGGATTGCCCTTCTTTTTTATGACCCTTAATAAATTAGAGAAACTGTCATGATAAGTCAGAAGATAGAATATCCTCATGTTAAAAATCACCTTTAATAAATTAGAAAAATTGTCATGACGACATGTTGAATCATAGCGGGAAAACAAGTCAGAAGTCTCGGAATATCCTAGAGAGGACACACACTTTGAAGTTGTCAGCGTACAGCTACACTTGCTGATAGATTCTTGGGTTTAAATCTCCGTGAAGAGTGCTTACTTTATAGGAAAGTGAGGCTTCGACTATTTTTTTGGGTTCTTTACCTCCTAATTAGTAGTAGATAAATACAAAGTTAAACATTTTTCTAGAGTAGACTTTGGCTTCTTTACAGGTCACTTCTTCAAATGAGTTCTAAGGGCTGATTTAGTCAAGTTCAACTAGATCATTCTTTGTTTTTCGTACTTAATATTTTTTCTTTTTTGTTTAGTGAGGATAGTTTGTCCCTGTTTCTGATCTTTCGTACTACTAAGACTACTAATGAAATTATCTGCTTCGTAAACCTGACAGTTATTAAATTAGACCTATATGAATCTTTATTTCAACAGAAACTTGAACGAAACAGAAAAATTCTGCATTTTGATCACATAAAACAATCACGTGTAGTAATGAAAGACAATAACGGATAAAGAATACCTTCTTGGCAGCTCCCGTTAACGATATATTAGATATCTTTTTAGAGAGATTTTCAGGAGCCTTAAGTTCCTCCATGATCCCTGTTGCATGTTCTATGCAGATGTTGGATCTGCACTCCTCACACAACACCTTCAACTCTTTGACCATCGCCTGTTAAGGGAAAAGTAGAAGCAAAATAGAATAACTATGCTTTTCTACCCATCATTATAATAACTGAATCCAAACAAAATATCATGGTATATAATACCATGGAAAATGTTTAATACGCATGATAGCTACAGAAAACCATATGCCGAGATGTTCAATGAGCTAAATCAGTTTTAAATATGCTGAGGGCAAGCATTTTCTTTAGTGTAACTCCAAAAAGTAAAAATAAATAAATAAATAAATAAACAACTGTCAAAGAAAATGATTATACTCATTACACCACCTGATCGCCAGTGCCTGTAGCCTGGAATTTTTGCAAGGCATCTTCAGCAAGAGAACGGGCACGGGTGTACAATGCATATGCCTCTTTCCTCATACCAGCAAGGCTGTATGATTTACCCAAAAAGAAACACCTGCCAAGAAGCAGAACACCTGTAAATCACATATCTTTGTAGCATCATTTGATAAATCATAAATCACCTTTTTAATACAATTCTCTGCAAGAATAAGAGACAAATCTCTGCGTAAAGATCATGAAAATCTAAGAAACATGACACTGAATAAAAATAGCTCAAATGCTCAGAAATCAAAACAATGATCAGATACTGACAAACGGAGGATCATGAAGATTGATACACGAGATGGTCCAGTAGCGTGGGAAAAAGACTTGGAACAATATCCGAAAAATAATTTTCAAAGAGGTAGTCCACCAGGAACGGGATAAAAGATCATGAAGATTGATATGCTAAAAGAGAAATGACAGCGTATTATTTCACCATATCTTATAAAAAAAAAGTACTTTGAATGAGAGAGTTTAACTAGAAGGGAAAATATAATTCAAAGTTCTAGTGCCAGTAAGATAACCTAAAAGAGAAATGACAGCGTATTATTTCACCATATCTTATAAAAAAAAAAGTACTTTGAATGAGAGAGTTTAACTAGAAGGGAAAATATAATTCAAAGTTCTAGTGCCAGTAAGATAAAGGAGAAACACCATTAAACTTAGTTCAGTATTTTCAAAGTGCAACAAACAGCCATTGCATAGGATGCAAACCTCTCTGCTCGGAAGGCCAAACTTTTAAGCGCACATTCTTCAGCAAAGGCCACTTCTTCTGGCTTCCTATCTCTTCCAGAACTGATTAAATCTGAAAGATCAGCAGTATTCTGCAGAAACAACATCAGTTAAAGAAGGTTTGTCATTCAAATTGTTCAGCAGTAATTATAAACACCTCAAATAACACATAGGATGTTAAAGACAAGTGCTAGAGAAAAATACCTGCAATAGAAGATCATATAAGCGAACAAGCTCTTCAGGCTTCGTAGCTTTCTCATTTTTATCGTCACGTTGCCTAGTAAGCTTACTTTTTGCTATGCTAACCAGCAACTGGTTGCGCTCAATGGTTCGTAGTCCCAGTACTGCACTAACAGCTTTATCAAGACCATTTAAGTCGTCTTTCACGTTTTCAGAACTACCTGCACTGACCTAGAATACCAATTGCATCAGGAACAGCAGTCGGAAGAAGAAAAGGCATCAGAGAATAACATGACAAACATTTAATCAGATAGAGGGGGGCATAAGGAAGAAGCTTTAATAAAAATCATAAGAATCGTAATAATAGTAATAATATATAATAATACAAATAACAGTATATACTTTCCAATAAAATAAAGACAAATAACAGGACATAAGAAACACCATACCAAGTCACTGCGAATGCAGCTCCTGGCTTCATGGTATGCGGTAAAAATTTTGTCAAAAATGGCAAGTCTTTTGTCTCCTGGGAGTGTTTCGGCGGTTGGACCATGTAAATCTTTCTCCAATTCTTGAGCTGAACAAGTTTGTAGGATACGAGCAAAAGTTGAGAATGTATTCAGATTACAGCGGGCAAAAAATAAAAATAGAAAAAAAAAACACAGGACAAATCACATAAATAGTGTATTGATGCTAAATATCAATATTGAGCGATCCCCTTAGTAGTAGTGCTAGAACTTTCATTCTTATGTTCAAGGGCAAACATCTCTTTGATCTAAAGAATAATTCTTTATTTTTCATTACTTCAAATAAGTAATCATAACGAACCTTTTAAAATGGCAACCCTTGTTTTAGCATTAGATATAGGAAACTTGTGACCAAGCCAATGGAACTCTGTCATTGATGCTGCCTGTTGAGATCTTGTCTCTGCCATAACAGCCTACAACCAAAAGCATACAAGAAATGAGTACAATAAGCACAAGCTAACACAAGGAACATACAAGGAAAGAAAACCCTTCAAGCACATCCAGAAACCTGGCACATGTAGGCTGGGGTAGTATCATTTTATTGATTTTAGGAAGTTAAATTGCCTTTGCTTTCATATATTAGAACGGTGATGTAAAGTTGACCCCAGTAATAAAATAACTTCCTTGATGAAGAACCGTGCTATGTACAGCATGGTCACATCTCACTAATAAAATATTTAAACTTACCTCCAATTTAGCTTTGAAGAGGTCAAGTGCAGGACCTTCCATCTCGTCAATTTGTAAAAGTTCAGAGGTTTGTAAATTTGACTTGCCAAGCTTATGTAAGCAGTAACGGATACTAGGTTCTAGTTCCTCAACACGTTCACGGCACAAAACTTGATTTTCCAAGTCTCCATACTTCCTGAGTTCCTCATAAACAGCCCTAAAATATGAGCAAGATGTTAGCAAGCCACAACATCCATTAAACTAGCCTATTCAAATCAAATCAACCCCCTAACATTATTGACAAAAGAATTTGGCTATAGATTTCCAATATTTAAGCAGCATTAATAAATAGTTGCACATATCAATAGAATCAATATAAGGATGTACCTGGCACTTTTGAAGTTCATCAATGCTGTCTCCCAGTTCTGATCTTGTTCAAACAACAAACTCCCTTTCATAAAGGATGCATAGGCCTAGTGATTCATATTCACAGTTAAATCATCAAAAATTACAGAAGCAATACATATAAACTATCAACTGTATTCTGAGAGTCCATCACTCAAGCTTTGAAGCATGTGGTAGGTAATTGGCTCATAGCTTCAAGCAGGAAAATAACATGAAAATTGCATTATTAATTTTTTTTAAAGTTGTATGAAGTATTAATAAAGGAGCTTCACAAGATGTCATATATATTAGGTCATTATTATCAGACTTCCACGCTACAGTTGTTTCATGGATTCACCAGATTCATTTTCTGCTTGAATGTGCAATATTAACCTTGGAATCCGCAGAAAGTGAAAGAAGACCTAAGGTGGGAAAGTAGTTGCCTCAGCCATGGGTGCATGTCTATGTCTACCACTAAGATTAAACTACATCAAGACATAAAAAGATAGCTGCAAACCTCAGCTTCTAAAGAAGTTCTAGAGTCTCCCTTAGTTGCACACAACTGTGAAAACAGAGTAGCCCACTTTACTGCCTTCCTCAGCCTACCAATCAAATAGATTCGCTGGCGTGCATTGGGGCCATCAGAAAGCTGTCTTTTTTCCATGGCATGGCTCCAAGCTCTCTCTGCCGTATAAAGAACCCGATGAAGAACCCTATTTAAATCCAGAAAACAAAAACCATTCAGCATGGAATATTACCAAGCATTTCAAGCTATCTAATTACTGTTACTTAACCATAAAATAGAAAACAACTCAAGAATTATATACGCCCTCTGATTCCAAAGAGCCATTATCTCGTCGGTAAAACAGTCAATTGCTCTTGTAACCACCAAAGATAAATCCTTATATTTAGCATAGTTTCTGGTAAGGCATAATGCATCTATGTTTTATACTTGGGGCATAATACAAGCAAATGAACAAACAAAACATGCTGAATAAAGTCATGAAAGAATTAATAAGCAAAGAATCATTACCCAGTGTTAAAATAGAGCACCGAAGTCTATAACTGAATTGACTATCTATTTCCAGCAAAGAATAATTAGAGAAAACGAGAATTAGTTTTTCGTGTTTTATGATATAGCTCGTATCCAAGATATCTTCTCCTCATATATTAGGTCAATTTATTTATAAAAAAAAAACCTTTTTGTTTCTATCAAAAACAGAACTCAACCAACCGTTTGAGGAACCTCACTTAAGTGAGAAAATCAAGACTAGAGATTTATCTCATCTTGGTCTGTTCACCAACACCTTCAGACCAGGATAAACGTATGAATAATTCCCTCATTCAATAAGGAAACACAGTTCACCGTATTTGCAAAAGATATGAACAGCAAGACGCACCTGACTTCGGTCACAGTAGCTTCAGTAATCGGTCGACGGGAGTATTTCCCACGGCCATGAGTGAGCTTCAATGATTTATATAACCTCCTTAACCGAGCTGTGCAATACCTCCTACAAATAAACGACATTCGGCCCATCACCAAATTATATCAATTTCACGCGTAGTCATTCCAACAACAATTACAATAACAATAATAATAATAATAATAATAATAATAAAGATAAAGATATTGTTAAAAGCAACAATGATAGTGGTAGTGACAGTTGAAAATAAAATATGGATTAGAAGCCTTAAGTGAAACTTGCATTTGACAAATTGGCCAAAATCAAGTATGAATTTTGAGGTCATTTACCGATAGCGAGTGTAGTCCCCGTGCCGCAATCCGTGCTGCATCTGAGCAGATTTCAACAGCTGCAACACTAGTATTAAAAAAAAAAAAAAGAAATAAGCACAAGCAAAATTACACTTAGCATTCCGTCATTATAATAACGTGCAATATTTTTCATACGGAAAATCCATATAACATCTAAAACATCAATCAAGCTAATTAAGAGCGATGTAACAATTGAGAAAAAATAAATATCGCAACACAATTGATTAGTCAATTCAAAAGGCTAAAAAAAATTGAATTCGGAAGATAAAACTAAAACAGATCGGAGAAACGGACCGTTTATAGAGAACTTAGGAACAATCTGATCAGACGCGTTTGATTTCGGATCGTCAATTTCCATAGCCGCCGCTTGGCCCTCTTTGCCCATTGATAACCTTCAGATGAGAAAAAAAAAAAGCAACAAAAACCTGAAAAAAAAAATCACTTTACCAATCGCAGATATATCGCTCGAGTAATGGTGCCGTTTGGTGGCTGATAATTAAAAGAAAGGAAAAAAAAAAACCAGAGAGAGAGAGAGAAATTGGTGATAAATATTTGGCGACATTACTGAAAAGTGGTAGTTTCTCGGGAAACAAACAGGCATGGGCATACTTACCGAGGGTTGAGGTGGATTCTTCGCGGTGGCGCCGATGAAGAACTGAGATGCGATGTTTGAGTTTGTACTTCAGTCTTCACGTTTCTTTTCTGCAACGATTTTATGTCGTTCCGGTGCTTGTTTTTTTAAGAGAATTTTTTCAATTTTTTTAGATAATTTTTTCAGTGCTTATACACTTTTTTTTTTTTTTTTGGTGTCATAAAATTATTTTTTAAAATTTAATTTAATCAAATCCATTACATAAAATAATAATTCTATAGTATACCTTAAATTTAAGGATTAACTACAAAAACTCCCCATAAGTTATATCTCTTATAACACTTTATTCTTTAATTTTTGAAACATAACATACGTTCTTCTAGAACAATGAAATATTAACAATATTTCATAAAAAACCTCATCTGTTAAGTTTTTTAACTGAAATTGACATTTAATTTATTATTTTAAGATATTTTAGTAGTTATATAATTTAAAATTTAGTATGAATTTAAAATTAATTTAAATTTAAACTTTTAATCATGATACATCTATTATTAATTGAATGTAAGTTAAATATTTTATGAAGTTTTTTTGTAGTAAAAAAATATAATATTTAAACTAGTTCAAATTCAATTTAAATTTTAAACTATAAAATTACTAAAATATTCTTAAAATAGCAAATTAAACGTCACTTTCAGTTAAAAATCTAAAGAATGAGTTTTTTTTTATTACCATTTCATTGTTAAAGGGGAATGAGTGTTATATTTGAAATATCAAAAGGTAAAGTGTTACACGGGATATAATTCAAAGCTAATTTTTATAATTAATTCTAAATTGAATCATAAAAACTAATTAATTTACTCAAGTTGAGTTGTGTTTTTCCTCAATATTTACTTACTTTCATGTCACAGCTTAATAAATATAACAGACTTTCTTATATAACTATACAAAAATTTACCTACTGATAAGGTGCACAACTTTAAATCATTAGATCATATTAAACTTTCAAAATCATATCAAGTTTTTATAAAATATATAAATTTAATGGACATTTTTAAGAATATGATTGTCCAAACTGTGCCTACTCTTAGGGAAATTTTTTTATCATATCTCAAATTATGGATGAGTTTTTAATAGTTGCTTTTAAATAGTTTTCAATAATTACCCTTACGTATGCATATATTTAGATATGTAATTTTAATGGTCACTTTAATATTTACTCACAGGTGGATATTTTGTTTTAACCATTGAATATTGATTAGACGGTCATAATAAATTTGGTAGTTAACCAAAAAATATATGTTAATTAATGAGATTAAATTCTAATTATGGCACAATATTAAATTTTTATATATAATAGGTAATTATTTATAGAAATAACTATTGAGAACTCGTCTATGCTGGTATATATTTAATGTATTTATTGGTAACTATATGCCACCTTTTTTTTTTAGTAAAGAGAAAGTATCAAAAGATACAATCCATGGTGGAAATTAGAAAGAAATCGACACAAAAAATGTCCTTTTCTATCAAAAAAATAAGTAAAAATAAATCATATGATGTTAATAAAACAACACATAAAATTTATTCAACTTTCTGAAAGAAGAAAAAAAACATAAATATCATAAGATCAAAAAGCTGGTGAAGATATTACTTCGAATCTATAAAATATATAAATATATGAAAAAGTATATAAAATAAAAAACTAGATTATTGATAATTTAAGAAAACAATAGAAATGAACTTATCTTATTGTGGGATTGGATTGCATTAACTTTTGAATATGAGTCGAGCAATAAGTTAATAAGAATAATAGGATAAAATTTCAACCAAAGTTAAATGTCGTTTGATTGAGAGAGGATGTTAAGGAAGGATTATCAGCTTTCCTCTATACTTTCTCGTTCTGGGCAAACTATATTCCACTGTTGCACAATTCTAAATATCGGTTATTTGATCAATAGTTTTTTTTATACCTATCAAAACTGTTGCACAATTCTAAATATCGGTTATTTGATCAATAGTTTTTGTTATACCTATCAAAAAAATTAGAATTATTAGTATTGGTGCCTCTTGAATTTTAGGTTCATTTTCAGTTTGCTTACTGAATTTTAAAAACTCATACTTTACTTCTTAAATTTTGAATTGTTCATACTTAACCATTTCTAATGGAACAAATGTTAAAAACAAATAAAAAAAATAGACTTTAATAGAAATTCACATGACTACACTTAGGGCGCGTTTACTAGATCGTAAAGGAATGTAATGAGAAAAGTAATGGGATTGGAAGGAAAGTAAAGTAATCATTCATTCCTTTTCATATATTTACTTGACTATTAGATGATGTATTGAGAAATAATCTCATTCCCTTTCTTATTTTTACTGAAATTAGGAATAGTAATGTTATGAATGTAATCACTAAAATGTCATTTTACATAATTAAATCAGCATTGAATGTATAGTAATTCTTAAAAGTAGATAAGTAAATTTAGTATTCATTCAATTTGGTAAGGAATCAATACTAAGGGGGTGAAATGATTGATATTTCCTTTTCTCATTACCTATGTTATGTGGGGCCCACTAAATCTCTATTATTAATTTTGTTAGTAAACAGATTATTAGATGAAAAAGGGAATGACTTCTTACTTCCCTTTTCTCTTTGATGCAAAGTAAACATGGCCTTAGATGTTAGAAGTAAATGGATAAAAATCACATGACTACATTTTAGCTTCTTTTTTTAGGTATGATTTTAATAGAAATTCTTATAAAAGACTTCAAAGGGACTAATTCAAAATTTAAGAGATAAAGTGAGAATTTTTAAAATTTTGGGACCAAAATGGAGATGACACTAAAATTTAAGGAACAACGGTGAGATTAACCCAAAAATTATCTTCTTAATTTAATTTTGTTGAAGTTGCTTTAATTCCATACAATCGAAAATAAAAATATACCTTTCTTCTTAGACTTAATGCAACTATTACTTTTAGAGCATTGTTGAGGATCCGTTTAGCACCTCAAAACACATGGGTGGCCCCATTTGGGTCTCTCAGAGACATGGGCCCATCCCATATGTCTGAGGAGCTGCAGCTCCACAGAACCGTTCAACTTTTTTGTTTTATTTTTGTTTTTTTGTTTTGTTTTATGTTTTTATTTTTTATTTTTACCTTATAGCTTTACATTTATAAAAAAAATAATATTAGAGACATCAATTTAAATAATAATTATTATATACTAATTGATGTGATACGTAAGTTGTCATTTTATATTAATAGATGTTTAAAATATTATCACGTCAATTAATAAAAAAGTTTGCATCGACAAATAAAAATATGATTGAGTTACATGCCACATTAATTGATACACAAAAATTGAGATTTGAGTTGGTGTTTCTAACATTACTCTTTATGAAATTTTGCACGCTTTCTATGGTATAGAGTTGCACCAAAAATGAGATTGTATCAATTATCAAAGTAAAGCAACCATCCTCTTTCCTAGCTAGTTGGAATTTAAGCAACAAAAGGAAAGGGAGAAAAAAAACCGTGTTTTCTATGGCCTTGTTCATTTTACCGATTCGAGTTTTGTTACAGTAAAAAGTTCTCAGAAACAGTCACATCAAACTTTTTTACTACAGTAAAAAACTCTCACATAAAATTACATATCAACTCGAATTAAAAACTCGAATCAGCAAACTTCTCTTGTATTAGTATTCCTCAAACTTCATGAGCAAAGAAAAAAGAAAATTTCCGTCCAAATGGTGGAATAAGCCACATTGGCCAAAGAATGGAATAAATCAATGCATAGCCCCAATGGGGCACTTATCATGTAATAAAGTGCTAGAATTTGTAGGGGCAAATTCAGATGTAGGCAAATAACCTTCACCCTTCATGTGCTTACTTAACCTTCGTATCTCCAAACGTATATCTCCAATCTGTGGGTGCAACTCATCCCCAACGACAAACACATGAACTCCACTCTTCAACTCAATCCAGCTACACCCAGGCTCCTTACTCACCCCTCGGAGTTTCATCATCCTCCGAACCCGTTCGACATCTTTTTTCCTGCCCAATGCAGTGTAGATACTCGACAACAGAACATAAGCCGACGATTCTCGTGATCCCAACTCCATTAGTTTCTCTCCAGCATAGGCCCCCAATTTGTACTCTCGATGGTTTCGACAAGCACTTAGAAGAATTCTCCATAAACACATGCCGTGATCGATGGTTGCGGATTCTATAAACTCTTTGGCTTCTCTCAGTTTCCCAGCCCGACTTAGCACATCTACCATGCAAGCATAGTGCTCTACCTTCAGCGCTATTCCAAAATCATGAATCATCATATCAAAATAGGACCGACCTCTGTCTACCAACCCAAAGTGGCTGCAAGCCGAGAGCACATTCAAAAATGTTATGGCATCCGGTTTTGTGCCTTCCAATAGCATCTCCTCAAAGAGTTGAAATGCCTCGTTACCAAGCCCATTGTGAGAAAGCCCGGATATCATTGCATTCCAAGATATTACATCCCTTGTTGGCATTCTTCTAAAAACCAAGTCACCATCTTCCAAGCTCCCACACTTTGCATACATTGTAGAAAGCGCGCTTCCAATTGGGATTTCAAGACTGAACCCGTACTTAATCGCACGGGCGTGGATTTGCTTTCCTTGTTCCAATGCAGCCAGGTTCGCACACGCTTTCAGGACGCTTGCCATGGTCAGTTCATTAGGCACGATTCCCTTCATTTGCATTCTACAGTACAAACTCAATGCCTCTTCATTCTCTCCATTCATCACATACCCTCCAATTATAGAAGTCCAAGAAACAAGATCAGGATGTTTCAAATAATCAAACCCCTTCCGAGCATCACCAATGCCACCGCATTTCGCGTACATGTCGACCAAAGCCGTCATCACATACATTTGCGACTCGAATCCCAACTTATACGAATAGCCGTGTAATTGTCTCCCTACTTCAATTGCACCAATATTGCCACAAGAATTAATCACCCCGACAAAAGTGAACTCACTAGGAGTAACCCCACAAACATGCATTGTACAAAACAATCTCAAAGCCTTTTCACAATCCCCACTTTGTGCAAAGCCATTTACCATAGCAGACCACGTAATAGAGTTCTTGTCATCCAATATCAGAAACATTTTCAATGCATCATCCAAACTCCCACATTTTCCATACATTGTAACCAAAGCATTCCCAACAGCAACAAAACATAACAACCCCTTCTTCACCGCAAGACAATGAATTTGCTTCCCACAATCCAAAACTTCAGGAACCCTCAAAGCACTAAGAACACCAGTGAAACAAAACTCATTATCACACCCCTTTTCCTCTCTCCTCATCGCTCGAAAGACCCCCAAAGCCTCTCTTTCCATCCTAGCCTTTCCATACCCGGAAATCATAGTCGCCCACGAGACGGAATTTCTCTCCGGCATTTCATCAAACAACGTGCGCGCATCCGACAAAAGGCTCAACTTGCAGTACAAACTCACAAGCGAGCTCCCGACAAACACGTCCTTAAAACAATCCGTCTTGATCGCCAGCGCGTGCGCTTGTCGGCAGAAAACGACGTCGTCGTCAACGGCAGCGAAAACCGCAGCGAAAGTGTAGGCGTCGGGCATGGTGTTCTCCTCCCTCATCCGCTTCAGAAGCTTCCTCACCGGCGAGGAACACGACGGCGCGTTTTGAGAGAAGGCATTGATGAGGCAGTTCCATGAGACGACGTCTTTTCGCTCGGAGCTGTCGAAAGCGAGCTCGGCTTTGGTTAAGTCGCCGCAGTTGGCGTAGAGGTTGACGAGGCTGTTGGCTAAGTAGACGCACGGAGACCGACTACTCTGGACGATTTGAGCGTGTACGGCCTGTCCTTTGCGGAGGTTCTTCTGCTTTGTCGACTCCAGAAGTTGCGTGAAGAATCGCCGAGACTTGGCTGTTACGGAAGGCATATATAAACCTATGAATCAAATGAAAATCGGAGCAAAAATCAGTTCTTAGCAGTTGAGAAATTTGCATAGCATTCATTTTTCCTTACCTGTATGCTTTCAAAGATAACGAAGAATTCGCGCGTCATTTACGTAACGACGTCGTTTTGGACCTAACTCTGACCCTGCGAGGTGTGAGCAACAGTTGAGTGATTTTATTTATTTATTTATTTCTTTTGGTCGCCGCCATCCAATTCCAACTGATGAATCTCTCCAGTGCTTTCAACTTCTTCAAGTCCTCCAAATTCATCTCTTGGAAATCTGTAATCCCTCTATCGAAGTCTCTCTTTTGTGAAATTTTTAGCCTTTATATTGTATATATACACACACATATATGTTCGCGTATGTACGTGTTTTGTTGCGAGCTATTCGGAGAAGGAAAATGCTGATTATGGCAGTGAATTAGGTTATGCCGATTGTTTTCGTTTTGCAGGTTCCAGTGTCTGGAAATGTAGTGTAGGGAGTTCATTTTCGTGTTAATTTTCTCGGAAACCAAACGGAACGGCATTTTCCTTTTGGTTTAATTTTGTTTCTTTGCGTTTTTGTTTGAATGCATTGCAGACCGGTAGGCTTCAGCAAACTCTGGTGGGATGTATAGAGCTGACCGGGAAGACTCTACACTCCGGCAAGGTTTCAACGGTGAAGTTATGGCCGGAGCTCGCCGGAGTAGGGAGGTACTTTGATTTCCGATCAAACGTGATTCCCGCTTCAATCGATTATGCCAATGAATCGCCTCTCTGCACAACGCTCTGTAAAGATGGAATCAGAATCCGAACCATCGAGCACCTGCTTTCGGCTTTGGAAGGCATGGGAGTTGACAATTGCCGGATCGAGATAGAAAATTCGGACCCCGAAGATCGCGATGTTGAGGTTTGCATCTTGAAAAAATTTTGTATTTTGAAGTGGAATTACGGCGCTAACTTTGATATATCCTCTTAATCTTTATTTTAGTTGAACCATTGTTGTAGAGATCCTTACACAAAAGACTTCTGCTTTGCAGAACATTTCTTAGTTAACTGCTAAAATGCTTGATCTGCATAACAAGCTTCAAAAGAGGCCTTATCGATAACCTTGTTTGTTAAGCTAATGACCAAAATTTAGCCAGTTGTATGTGTATTTGGAGATTGAATTGCTTGATTATTCAATGAGTTGATGAGAAACATTTAGGGACACAATTCTATGGTAGCTAGTGCTTTTATTTTTTTCTGATGACAAAAGAACTGAGAAGTGTTAACGTTTGATGGGTCTTGTGCAGGTTCCAATTTTTGATGGATCAGCAAGTGATTGGGTGGGGGCAATAGAGCAAGTTGGTTTAAAGGTGGCAAGGGATGAGTGTAGCAACACTTGTGAAAAGATGGCAGCACATATTAATGAACCTGTGCACATTTGGAAGAATGGTTCTTTTGTGGCTGCATTTCCATCCCCTAAAATTTTTATCAGTTATGGGATTAGTTTTCCACAGGTACACTGATATTATACCCCATAGGAAACTTTCTTACAAATGGCAAGAAATGTGAAGGATTTATGTGCACTACTTTTGGTCGATCCATTATTTGGGTTGACTTTTTCATATGTTTTTTTTTTTTTTTTTTTTTTTTTTTTTTTTTTTTTTTTTTTTTTTTCATTTGACCTTGTTAGCATAATATTGGACTTTTTTTTTTGTTTTTTATTTTTTTTTATTTTTTTTAATATGTTAATCTTATTTATCAGGTGGATTTGCATAGATATTTAAATTATTCAAGATATCAGGATACATCATTGAACTGAAATATAATGGTCTTCCAATCTAAGCTTATATTCTAAAGAATACAATATCTATGGAGTAGTCTCCCTATGATTAAGTAGTATTTTGCAAGTAGGGATCTTAAACATGTGGTAGTTAAGCTTTCATCCTTATTGTGGTATTTTTAAGCGGGTGGAATTGATAATTGGATTTTGAATTTTCTGGTCTATTAGGCATGCAAAAGAAAATTTTCATTTCAAATTCAGATCAGCTAATGTAAAGCGCAAAAAAAAAAAAAAAAAAAAAAAAGAGACATATCTGAATGTTCTTTCTTGACACGCTAGAATCTTTTTTCCTAGACCTTTGTCTAATTAGGTGGAATTGAAATTTCTCCATTTGGCAAGTGGATAACTTTCTTGATAGTAGCGTACTTTTCCCTTTTGAAACATCTATTTTGTAGCTACAAGTTTGCGTTTAGAATGATAACTGACGCATCCAGTAGTGGCTCCATTGATTAGTTTCAAATTGAAAGAATAGAGAGATAGCAAAAAAAACCATTCATTGGAGAGAGAAGATGATACATTGGCCTTTTTTTTTCTTCTTCTTCTTCTTCTTTCCCTAGAGATATAGTTGTCACTTCTGTCTATTTTAAACGCTGATTGGCAAAATTTGTATAACCCCACCTTAAGTAGTTGGAATTAGAATTTTTGTTTTTGCGGCTGGTATCAGCGCTTTGTATTTGTGCCAACCTCTACAACACCTAAAACTAAGTAGATGCTTGTTGTTTATAAAGATTAAGCTTTAAACTGCTGACACTAGTTTATTGAAGAAATTTGTATAACCCCACCTTAAGTAGTTGGAATTAGAATTTTTGTTTTTGCGGCTGGTATCAGCGCTTTGTATTTGTGCCAACCTCTACAACACCTAAAACTAAGTAGATGCTTGTTGTTTATAAAGATTAAGCTTTAAACTGCTGACACTAGTTTATTGAAGAAATTTGTATAACCCCACCTTAAGTAGTTGGAATTAGAATTTTTGTTTTTGTGGCTGGTATCAGCGTTTTGTATTTGTGCCAACCTCTACAGCACCTAAAACTAAGTAGATGCTTGTTTATAAAGATTAAGCTTTAAACTTGCTAACACTAGTTTATTGAAGTCTATAACATTATTTTTTAGTAGTTAGTGAATTAACATATTTTATAGCAGGTGCCTGCTATTGGCTACCAGTGGTTTTCTTCAGCTCACTTTGACAACTCTCATTACACCAAGCAGATAGCTCCATCAAGAACTTTCTGCATTTATGAGGAGGTCAATTCTAAAATCTACATCAGTAGTCTTTTATTGTTTTTCTCTCTTTGTTTTGACGTTTGACACTCTCTCATCAGCAACTCAATGCATATAATAAAAATGGTGAAAATCCCTTAATGGTGTACAGAGTTGATTCTTGGAGTACAAGATAGCCTTTAAACTTGAGCTTTATGAATCATGTTTATCTTTATATCATAATTTGTATAACCTGATAAGATACTTAATTTTAAGTACTATATTGAAAAGCTTTTAGTTTCTTCAAGAAGGAAAGGCAGGTAGTCTTGGATCTTTGTGATCTTAATTACCGATGATAGCTTGGAAGTTACGGAATGGAAATGTATTACAATTAGATGTAGCTCTATTCATCTGTGGCCATTCTTCGCTAACCTGTGCCTAATAACAATGTGTGAATCTGTAAGAAATAAAATTGTTCATCCATTTATATGCATGCTGCTGTTTTTGTTTGAAGCATAAGTTTTATAGGCCTTTTTCTCTGTGTCAACTTAGGTGTTTGCTAATTGTTTTGCGTAGCAACAATGTGTAGTTTATAAGCTAAAGTCGTAGTCCATCTGTCTATATGCATGCCAACGGTTTTTGTTTGTTTCGAAAACAAAATATTTCCAGGCCGTTTTCTCTAAATCAACTCAGGTCTTTGCTAATTGTTTTTGTTTCTCTTCACTTATATTATCGACATCTTAGAACACTTATAATCACTAAGTAATTTCCCCCTTTCTTTCTGGGTGTAAATTGAATATATTGAAAAATGGAACAAAGCACCATCACCAACATAAAATTTTAGTGGACGTTTGGTTCATAGGTTCAGAACCATGATTCATAACAATTCTCGTTTTACGTGTGTTTTTTGTGAGAGAAAACACTGTAGCGAGCCACGAACCATGATCCGAACCATGGCACGAATCCTTACTCCAAACGTAGCATTAATCACCCTACTTTATCTGCTAAACTATTTATCCACAAAACCGAATATATATGCCCAATGAAAGCAAATGATGTCACTATAAAAAAGGATTGCAAGCACAGGAAATGTAACAATGTCTGTAACATGCTTTGCACATCCATCTAGTTATTTCATATGTGAAGTAGGAAAAACTTTCCCACTTTTTATTAATGAGCAAGATATTATTTAAATTGCTGCTGATGATGATGATCACATATTGGGAATTTGTTACAGGTGGAGAAAATGCGCAATATGGGACTCATAAAAGGAGGCGGGGTAGAAAATGCACTCGTTTGTAGGTCAGATGCTTCATAGTTTATGTATTATGAGATATTAGTGTCAACCAAACTATCTGTTTCCCTACATTATGCAAAGGTGAATGATAGCGACACTGCGTTTGGAGTAAGGATTTGTACCATGGTTCGGATCATGGTTCGTGGCTCGCTACAGTATTTTCTCTCACAAAAAACACACGTAAACCGAGAATGGTTATGAATTATGGTTCTGAATCTATGAACCAAACTGTGAAAAGCAAGTAGCTATCTAACAAAGTTCTTCAGCTAATTAATATTTTCTCCTTTTATTTTGCAGTGTTAGTAAAGGTTGGTTGAATCCTTTGCTTCGTTTCGACAATGAACCTTGTCGTCATAAGGTCTTAGATCTTATTGGTGATCTTTCTCTTTTCGCAAGGTTTGGCAGTCAAGGGCTTCCAGTGGCGCACATAGTGGTTTACAAGGCACGTCTCCATGCTTTTCCCTTTTCCTTCCCTCTTTGGTTACTAGATTATGAACCATATTTTTAATGTATGTGCTTAGTGGGTCGCAGTCAATCTTTTTAGTTTCTAAAATTAAGTCAGAATGGAAGGTGCACTCACTCTTGAGATCTTTCGCTCTTCATATTCGTATTTGAATTTGAATGAATTTCCTATGACAAACGCAACAATGTTTGAACTTTTTTTAATTGCTATTCTTTATTTCGTTTTTTTTTTCTTTCTTTTTTCCTGTATTGCCTTTTGTTTTTGGGTTTATTTGGATAAATTTATCCCCCTTTGGTGCATCTGTGAGCAGATGTGTGAATCTGGTTGCAGTGATTGAGACTGCAACCACAACGTAGGGATGGATTTAGCAAGCGCTTTGCAGAGTTTGTCCAAATTGTTGTTGTAGAAATCAAGAAAGTAGGCTAAAGTTATGGACCGGATGTGTGCCAATCCGGTTAATGGGGGCTTAGAGATAAATTAGGAAAGTAGTTTATCTTTTCAATTTTTAAAGAGATTCCTTGAGATAAGGATCTCATTCATTCTAGGGATTTAGTTTCCTTTTTCTGTGGGATATACTTTCCCATTCCTATAGGATAGTTTTCTTATAAATACTATTGTAAACGTAAGTAATGAGAAGAATTGAAAAATATGTCATTCAACCTTTACAGAGTATACATTTAAATAGGATTACAATAAGGAACAAAAAAGGAAACTAACTAAATTAGCCTATACTGATTTCTTTCCTGATTTCTAGTAGTTGATTAATTCTAATCTTTCCATATTTACATGCTAATTTAATCCCTAACAGCTGGTGCCTTTACTCACCGAATATTTCAACACTCCCCCTCAAGCTGGCCTGTATATGTCTTCCATAGCTAGCTTGCTTATCAACTTGTTAAACTCCTTTTTGTGCAGTCCTTTAGTGAGTATATCAGCAGCTTGTTCAGTAGTCGGAACATAGGGTATGCAAATTAGGCCGTTTTCTATTTTCTCTTTGATAAAATGTCTGTCCACCTCAATGTGCTTGGTTCTGTCGTGGAGAACTGGGTTATGAGCAATTGAGATAGCAGCTTTATTGTCGCAATAGACCCTTATAGGTAAACCAGGATAAATCTTCAAGTCCTCAAGGGGCCTCTTTATCCAAATTACTTCACAAATTCCATGAGCCAGTGACCTAAATTCGGCTTCTGCGCTACTTCTTGCAACTACACATTGTTTTTTGCTTCGCCAAGTAACAAGGTTCCCCCCAACAAACGTACAATAGCCTGAAGTTGATCGTCTATCAGTCATGCTTCCTGCCCAATCTGCATCGATGTAAATTTCAATTTGTGAATGTCCATCGTTTTTAAACAGCAAACCTTTTCCTGGAGTCCCCTTTAGGTATCTTAAAATTCTATAGACAGAGTTGAAGTGTTCCTGCCCTGGTGAGTGCATGAATTGGCTCACCATACTTACTGCAAATGCAATATCTGGACGTGTGTGTGATAAGTAGATGAGTTTTCCCACCAGTCGTTGGTATTTTTCTCTGTCGATTACTTCCTCGGGTTTAGTAGCTTCAAGTCTTAAGTTGGCCTCGATTGGAGTTTCAGCAGTCTTGCAGCCAAGAAGTCCTGTTTCTCTGAGTAGGTCAATGATATATTTCCTTTGGTTTACAAAAGTACCCTCTTTAGATCGGGCAAACTCCATCCCGAGAAAATACTTAAGTGCTCCAAGATCTTTGATTTCAAAGTTATCAACAAGTCTCTTCTTCAACCCTGCTAGTTCTTCTATATCATCTCCTGTCATGATTATATCATCCACATAAACAATTAGAATAGATAGTTTGCCCTTTTCAGTATGTTTATAAAACATGGTGTGGTTTGCTTGACTTTGACAGTATCCATAGTCTTTCACAGTTTTCCCAAAGCGTTCAAACCACGCTCTAGGAGACTGTTTAAGACCATACAGGGATTTCTTAAGTCTGCAAACTTTTCCTTGGCCAAACTTGTCTTCAAAACCAGGTGGTAAGCTCATAAAAACTTCTTCTTCCAAATCGCCATTTAGGAAGGCATTTTTTACATCCAATTGATATAAGGGCCAATTGGAGTTGACTGCCAATGACAACAGTACACGGATTGAATTCATTTTTGCTATAGGAGCAATGTTTCATGGTAGTCAATCCCATAAGTCTGTGTAAATTCCCTTTGCTATGAGCCTCGCTTTATATCTCTCCAAACTTCCATCGGCTTTACATTTTATGGTGAATACCCACTTGCAACCAACAGTTTTCTTTTCTTTGGGCAGATCCACTACTTCCCATGTTCCACTTTTTCTAAGAGCATTCATCTCTTCCATCACTGCCAATTTCCAATCTGGATCATTAAGTGCTTCCTGAATATTTCTTGGAACACTCAAGTTTGAGATTTTTGAAATGAAAGCGCTATAATTACGAGAAACTTTGTTATATGAGAGATATTTTGCAATAGGATGAATGGTGCAAGAACGGGTTCCTTTCCTATGAGCTATAGGGATATCAAGATCCCGAGGCTGTATATCAATTTCATTAGACTCAGGAATAGATGATAAGAAGGAGGAATGGTTGGCAAGGTTTGAATTTGTGTACCTAATCCTTTTAGGAATTCATCACTCGGGGTTTTTGATTGATCTTGTGCTATGATGATAGATGGATCTCTTCCTCTTTGATGATTTCTTTTCCTGGAATAAATCAGAAGCTCTGAGTTAGACTCTCTTGAAACCGTAGGTAGTATTTCTCCCCCTGTCAACGAGTCAACTAAGTTTGGCACACTTAGGTTGGGTACATCACTATTATTCGGATCTTGTTTTGACATGAGTGATGAATCAGCCGTAATTGGTTTAGGTAAAGGAGTTGGAAGAATTTCCCAAAAATTTTCTTCAACATGTTCCTTCTCCCCCTGAAGAAAATTATTGTTAAAATAAGGTTGTTTTTCAACAAAAGTAACGTCCATACTGACAAAAATTTTCTTTGTTTTTGGATTAAAACACTTGTACCCCTTTTTATTTGGAGCATATCCTATAGAGACCCATTTTTCAGCTCTAGGGTCAAGTTTTGATTGATTTGTACTTGGTAAATGCACAAAGACAGTGCAACCGAAGACCTTTAAAGGGAGGTTGGACTGGAGTCTTGTTATTAGATTGAAGTTGGATTGTTTTTTAAAATACTCAAACGGAGTAGTATAATTTAGCACACGGTAGGCATTCTATTAATTAGGTAACAAGTTGTTAGAATGGCCTCTCCCCGTAGATATTTAGGAGTATGCATTGAAAACATGAGGGCACGTGAAACCTCAAGTAAATGTCTATTTTTTCTCTCAGCAATACCATTTTGCTGAGGTGTATCAACATAAGTGGATTGATGATGAATCCCTTTTTCTTTTAAAAAACTTCCTAGCACTTCATTGAAATATTCAGTGTCATTATCTGTGTGGAGTATGCAGATTTTTGTTTGAAATTGTGTTTCAATCATCGTATAAAAATTTTTAAAAAGATTTCCAACTTCTAATTTTTCACGCATTAAGTAGACCCAACATAAACGTGTGTGGTCATCAATGAAAGTAACAAACCATCTTTTGCCAAACATTTTTTTGATCCTCGAGGGACCCCACACATCACTATGGATTAAATAAAATGGCCCTGAGGCTTGATAAGATTTCAAAGGATAACTAGAACGGTGACTCTTTGATAAAATGCAGTTTTCACAATAAAGAGAAGAACAATCCAGTCCTTTAAACAAATCAGGAAACATTTTTCTTAGATAAGGAAACTAGGGTGCCCTAGCCTATAGTGCCAAAGCATTATTTGATCTCTAATAGGGATAGAACTAATACTTCTCAAGCCTTGAGCTTTTTTATTGCTGGAAAGTCCATCTTCAAAGTAGTAAAGACCATCCATCCTCTTCGCACTGCCAATCATCCTCCCCGAGTTCTGCTCCTGAAATTCACAGTGAGATTCAAAGAACACAACACGGCAATTAGAATCTCTAGACAATTTACTAACATATAGAAGATTGCAAGCAAGTTTCGGGACATGAAGTACAGATTTGAGTGCTATATGTTTTGTTAAATTGATCAGACCTTTACCCGCAATGGGTGGAAAAGAACCATCAGCTATCCTGATTTTTTCTAGGCCAGAACAGGGAACATAAGTATGGAACAAATGTGAAAAACTGGTCATATGATCAGAAGCTCCTGAATCAATGATCTAGGGAGTAGAACTTAGATTTAAATGACAGGATAGGGCATCCGGTTTACTACCTGAGTGGGCCAGAGAAGCATTAGGAGTACCAGATGATCCAGAGTTGGATTGCAGTAGCTTCAGAAGGTGATCCATCTGCTCTTTGCTAAAGGGAATAGAAGGGACAGCTTCAGCTTCATGTGCAGAGGGAATTCGGTTGAATTTTCAATTGTCCTCCAATTTGCTGGCTTCCCGTGGATCTTCCAGCAATTTTCACAAGTGTGATGAGGCTTGTTACAATAGTCACACCATACACGGGGCTTTTCTTCATTCTTTCTCAGAATAGACCTGCTCACGTTTGCCTCCGATGCAATCAGTGCTGAGTTTTCAATGGGACTGCTTGACGTCTTTTTTCCAAGCATAACAAGACGGCGACTCTCCTCCCTACGCACTTCAGCAAAGACTTCTCCAATGGAGGGCAGTGGCTTCCTACCGATAATTCTCCCTCTAACCTTATCGAACTCAACATTGAGTCCAATGAGGAATTTGAAGATCCTGTTATCTTCAATAGTTTTCTTGTAATGGTTGCCATCTTCAGGGGATTTTCACTCATAATCACTAAACAGATTGAGATCCTGCCAGAGCCGTGTTACACCCGAGCCTAAGAAGAATAAATATGAACGGATGTATTCTAGAGGAGCTCGCAACGTCTTTGGTTGGGGAAGGGATGTGAGTGCGTGAGTTAGTTGCTGAGCTGGCTTAGGTAGTTAGGCTAGCCTAGGGAGTAGGACGGTTACAACGGAGTGAGGGGATTCTTAAGGGAGGATCGGGGAGAGAGTAGGACACGTTGAGAGAATATTGCTTTTTACCATTTTGTATTCCTGGCCGAGCTGAGCTCGTGGTGATTCCGGAAACGATTAATGAATAGGATCCTTTGGTTGAGGATCCTTCAGTAGTCTATCTGTGGTGTTCTTGTGCTTGTCGTGTGTGAATTCGTGTTGCAGGTACCCAGAGCCTAACAAGCCGCTTCAGAGTATTGAAGTACTTTGTAACGCTGTCGTCTCCTTGGCGAATTTCACCAAGCTTCAGCGTGATCTCATAAACCTGAGATTCATTTCCTAGATCCGAATACATCTGGTTGACATTATCCCAAAGATCCTTTGCTGTGTGATAGCACATATAGTTTGAGCTTATATCCTCCTCCATGGAATTCACCAACCATGTCATCACCATCGAATTTTCTGCATCCCAGACAGAGTGTGTGGGCTCGTCACTTGAAGGTTCCTCCTTGTCTCCAGTTAAATACCCGATCTTACCTCTGCCACGGATATACATCCGTACAGATTGTGACCAGCGCAGGAAATTATCTCCATTTAGCCGGATGGTTGTAATTTGGACAGAATGTGAATTTGAATTAGAGTTAGGATGGGTTAAGGACTCGGACACCTTTGGTTGGGAGACGGATAATGGAGTGATTTCAGAAGTAGCATCAGACATGGTGTTTTTTGGTGGTAGACGGCTTAGGGTTTTTCAGGAAATCAGAGGAGGCTATGATACCATGTAAATGTAGGTAATGAGAAGAATTGAAAAATATGTCATTCAACCTTTAGAGAGTATACATTTAAATAGGATTACAATAAGGAACATAAAAGGAAACTAACTAAATTAGCCTATACTGATTTCTTTCCTGATTTCTAGTAGTTGACTAATTCTAATCTTTCCATATTTACGTGCTAATTTAATCCCTAACAGTTGGTGCCTTTAATCACTGAATATTTCAACAACTGTAATCCTTGTACAAGAATTAATCAATGAAATATACTTTCTTTTCTGCCCTAAAAACCTACAGTTATAACAAAATATAAACGTAAGAGACTGAAAAGAACTGCATATTATAGAGTTTGGTGTAATCTGTACTGTGGAATCGAAGAAGTAAATAGTTTTCCCGTGCTCTCTTCTAAATGACCTAAAATCTTCTGATCTTTGATTATCTTCTATTTGTATTACAGCCAATAAGTGTTTAATCAAGGTAGCATTCAATTATCTCAAAATAAATTTACATGGTCCAAGAGACAATAGTCCAAATGATTGTTCCCTTTGAGGATACAGCCAAAGTAGCACTTGATCATTTTGGTTTGGATTTGTTCTTTTTTTCGCTTTTTTTTAAATAAGTTGTGTGATTCTTTATGTTAATAGTAGCCTTAAACTAGACTAGTTTCCTCTTGATGCTTCATTTTCTACGTAATTAAGTATTTGCATTGGAAATGTTTTTGAGTTGACAAGGAAAGAGACAGAGTTGATATTATATATATTTCTTCTATTTTCATGTTTAAATTCTGCTTGTAGTTCAATGTCGACAATATAATTAATCAAGCTGCCTGTTTGATTTTACATGTGATCCAGGGTGGCCATGCGTTGCATGTTGATTTAGCACGTAAGCTGTCTCCAAGCATCCAAACGGATAATGTGTTGGAACAAATTTCTGTGGAGTAAAAAGAAAAGGAAAGTAAAAGATGGAATCCTCAGTGGCACTGGCACATTCCAAAGCTGCTTTCCTTTCAGACATCCCAACTATTTTTCGAACCGAAAGATCTTTTCACTTGGTAGATAGATTTAGTTGATGAATGATACTTAGTAGGATATCTTTATGATTGTTGATCAAGATTATGATTTTTCCACCAACTGAAACTCTTCAGACAAGAAGAAAAATTCTCGGGACAATACGGTGATAAACATCACCATTAAGGTGGGCTCCTCCTGCGGGCCTTGCGGAATTCATATTCTATTAGTGAGTGGAGTGTCCAAATATGAAGGGAACAACAGTCAAATCATTCATTGCAAATAGGTTTGTTTCTATTAGAACTGTTTGGTATTAGTGGTCTACGTTTGTTGTTCATATCTTCACCTTCCCATCCTCTCCAGCCTTCTTCCAACCACCACATTATCAAATCATCATGGTCATTATCACCGCTATTATAGCTGTAGTAGTTCTAGTTATCTATTTAATATACTTATTTATCTTTTTTAAAACTATCTTCTTAGGGTCAGAACTTTCTCCCTAATTTGGCACTTTGCGACAATTTGTTTCGCTGCTTCTGGAGATGGGTTATGAATGTGTTGACATGTTGTGATTGAGAAGCACACGTGCTTAGAAGAAGGGACTATGCTCGGGAAGAGCACTTACGGTAGGTCATTGATTAATTTGATGGCTTATTACTGACTAACTAATATCAATCAGATATTAATCTATTTCAATCAATAATGTATTGCTTTAGTAATGATAAACCATTAGTAAATCATTGATAGATTGGTTTGTAAATGAAAAATTAAATGATAAACTATTGTATATTGTTAATTAGTAGTTAAAAAATTCGGCCATTAATTGAAGAAATATTAAAATAGACTATCCATCTAATTTTCTCTTAATATAATATTATTTTGGGATACTATGATACGGGCAAAATTATAGTTTTTGAGTTATTTAATAGTAAATGGTTGAAATTTTATAAAATTACGAAAATGATTGTCTATCAGTAATAAATTACAGTAAATTTATAATAATTCAGTTTGTTAATTGTTATTGAGAAAATTATGGTCTCGTTCACTTCGCGGATTTGAGTTTTCAATTCGAGTTGAGATGTGACATTTTATGAGAGCTTTTTACTGTAACAAAAAAAGTTAGATGTGACATTTTCTGAGAGCTTTTTACTGTAGAAACCTAAAACTGAAAACTCGAATCGGTGAAATGAACGAGACCATAATGTTTTATCCCATAATCATCAAACTTCCTAATTCTATCATTTTAAAAAACTCTACTTCTTTTTATTTATGTGAAATATTTTCATCACAAATTGAAAAGATTAAAATACGTATAGATTAGAGATCATAACTTAATCGATCACATTATGATTGACGCCGGTGACAAGAGGTCGACGATTGATGTAATTTGTTAGGTTATGGGTCATAACCTGTCAGGTTGGCTGGTGTAATCTGTTAGGTTATGGCCATAGACTTGCCAGTGGCTGGTGTAATCAGTCAAGTTATGCATTATAACCTGTCAGGTTATGACCGGAGACCCGCCGGTGACCGGTGTAATTTGTCAAGTTATGCATCATAACCTGTCAGGTGATGGCCGGAGACCTGCCGTTGGCCGGTTTAATCTGTTAGGTTATGGATCATAACCTGTCAAGTTATGACCGATGGTCGGTCGAAACCAGCTTGTGATCGGTGTAATCTCTCAGGTTATGGATCATAACCTATCAAGTTATGGCCGAAGACCCGCCTATCAGGTTATCGCTGCTAGCTAGCTGGCAATTGGAGACTGTCAGCATATCTTATAATTTACCAATGAACCATTGAGGGTAATTTATTTATCTCATTGTTTTAACCATTTTTTGACAAATTTTTATTAATTTTTGTCCCAATATTTTTTTTTCTTTTTTGTTCTTTTTATCCTAAAACTTATTTATTTCTCCATTTTGTTCCATTTTGACTTTTTTTTTTAAACTTTTTCCATGAATCTTTTTTTTTTCGTTCTAGTTATTTTACCTTAAAACTTATTTATTTCTTCATTTATCCTCTTTTGACCTATTTTTTAATTCTTCCTCTGAAACCTTTTTTTTTTTTATTTTGTTCTCTTTTACCCTAAAATTTATTTATTCCTTCATTTTAATCCTTCTCTAACTTTTTTTTTTTTTTACTTTTATCTTAAATTTTTATTTTTTCGTTTTGGTTCATTTTTCTAATTTATTTCTTTATTTTTGTCTCTTTTTTTACCCTTTTTTTTTGTTTTACCCTAAAACTTTAATTTTTTCTAATTTATTTCTTTATTTTTGTCTCTTTTTTTACCCTTTTTTTTTTGTTTTACCCTAAAATTTTAATTTTTTTTTTTGGTATTTTGGCCTTTTTTTTTTTTTTACTTTTATCTTAAATTTTTATTTTTTCGTTTTGGTTCATTTTTCTAATTTATTTCTTTATTTTTGTCTTTTTTTACCCTTTTTTTTTTTTGTTTTACCCTAAAATTTTAATTTTTTTTTTTGGTATTTTGGCCCATATTCCCTAAGAATTATTTACTTTTCATTTTAGTCATTTTGGCTATTTTTTTTCTACCTTTTGCTCTAAAACTTTATTTTTTTTTTCATTTTTTTCGTTCTTAGAATTTTATATACTTTTAATAATAACATGATAATTAAAACTTAATACATAAATTACTCTCCGCGTGTATAATACGTGAAGTTCAATTAATATATATATATAGGAATTGTCTCCAGTCCGATACCAGATTAGAGCGGCACTTGTATATTTATTTTTTAAAACATGTATGTTTCCTCTTTAAAATGTGTATATTTTCACTTAAAACATGTACATTTCTTTTTATGATAAAATATATAATATATACACGTTTTAAAAGAAAATATACATTTAAAAAAAAATATACATATTTTTAAAATAAATATACATATTTTAAAAAAAAAATATATAAGTACCACTCTAGTCCGTACCGCACTCAAGATTTGGCCTATATATATATATATATATATATATATTACATATTCCCTTAAAAAAAAGAAAACCACCATTTGCGTAAACAAAAAAAGTGTTGCCGCCCCCTTTTGAAAAGAGTTGGTCATTCACTCATTTGTGTCTAATAGTTTTCTACGCCAAATATGTGGTCGTCGTCTTCTGTAGCTCTCTCAAGATTGTCCCGTCTCCGCAGGCACTTGGACTCATCGAATTCGCTCTCGGATAACAAGGTTCTTCTTTCCCAAAGCAGAATTACTTCATAACTTCTGTTTCCTCCTAGCTTTTATCTTTCTCGTAGCCGTATTTTCTGCTAATTTATTCTCATTCTTCAACAGGGCGTGGGATTAATCAAGGTTTCTCCGGAGGTTTCCGAAGCTTTGTCGAATGGAAAAGCAGTTGTTGCCCTTGAATCCACCATCATTTCCCATGGTAAAACCACTCTTTCTGGTGAAAATTTTATATAGTGCTTGGCTTTTTGGTGAACTTCTTGGAGTGCAGTCAACCTGTTTGTTGAAATTCCTCTGACCCAATTTTGCATATTTTATTATTATATTATAATTGGGCAGTTCTAGTTTTCTCAACTTTTGATATATTCAAACTTTTCTTGGGCTCTGTTGAAAGATTTAGTTGTTTGCGTATATAGGGATGCCGTATCCACAAAATCTCGAAACTGCTAAGGAGGTTGAGGCAATTGTAAGGAATAATGGAGCTGTTCCTGCCACCATTGCAATCCTAGATGGCATACCATGCGTAGGTGTTTATATTTAACTTTCACTTCTATTATATGATACATGCCTACTCTTAAATTATAGCTTATGTTAGTTCTTGTGACGGTTACTTTTGGGTAAGATCAATGTCAAACAAGTCTTGGTTTGTGCGTTTCTGTTTGAATTTTATAATGTTGTGAATTTCAAATTGTATATCAGCCTGAATGATGAAGAGGATATTTTCGTAGTAGACTTTGGTCTTCTTTTGAACATATTGATTAGAGATTTTTGGGCCATGGTATCACTTGCTAACTGGTTCCTTCTTTGTTATAGAAAATACTCTTAATAGTTTATCCTTACTTCATAGATATTGCTAACTTATTTTTATAGGTTTGGGTTTAGAAGAGCTTGGGAGGCTTGCCATCATTGGAACCAAAGCTCAAAAGACAGCTCGAAGAGACATTGCACATGTTGTAAGTTACTCTTTTCAAATCACAGTTATTGGTAATATTTCTTTCGGGTAATTTATACAATTGGTAAACTAACCTGCAAATATAAGTATTTTACCATATTTCCTATATACTTAAAGTTTCTTCCAACAAAGGCTACTGATTTATCATTATAGTATGACTTATTATTATTCATTTCCGCTAATAGTTTTATATGTTAACTTGTTTGGTGTGTTTTAGGTGGCCACAAGAGGAAATGGTGCAACTACTGTATCTGCAACCATGCTTATCGCTTCTATGGTGGTTACTCTGCTCTTAACCTTTTATCTTCTGAAAGGGAAAACTATCCCCCTATCTTGGTTACAGATACACCGACTTTCATATTCTTGGTTTTGTTCCAGTTGTTCAGTTTTCTGATGCTTGACCAACAAACTATTGCAGGTTGGTATTTCAGTCTTTGTTACAGGAGGGATTGGAGGAGTGCACAGACATGGTGAACATAGTACGTTTTGTCTAATTGTTTGTTTAGCTTTAAATACCTGCTGTTCCTGATTGAACCCACCTTTTCTATGCGTAGCAGTACTGGAAGTACTGACAATGATCTTGGAGCTTTTTTGTACGGTTGTTGGGGGAATTAATAGAAAGGGAGTTGAAAATTGTTTTATCTTTCTTTTTGTAGATGTTGGAATTAATTTTGGTTTTAAAGCATTTTACTCCAGTTAAGAAAAATGTTCATAAACTACTCCGTAGCCATGTTGGTTGATTAAAAATCGTCTCTTCTATCTATTTATGTTATTATTGATGATTTATGATAGAGTATCTAGGCTCTCTCTCTTTTGGTTTGTAACAAGCTTGTTTAAGCACAATTGTTGTTCCCAATATCTTGGAACTATACTTGGGACCTTATTTCAGCCTTGTACTTGCAGCGTTGGATATATCTTCTGACCTTACCGAGCTTGGGAGGACACCCGTGGCAGTCATTTCAGCTGGTGTAAAATCAATATTAGATATTCCCAAGACACTAGAATACTTGGTACTTAATAGTATTCCCAGTATGTCATTAGAAGTTTAAGATGACTATGAATTGTATTAGTTATTACCTTTTTTTTACACATCACTGTAGGAAACGCAAGGAGTTTGTGTTGCTGCTTACAAGACCAATGAGTTTCCAGCATTTTTCACAGAAACTAGTGGCTGTAAGGTACCAATTTTCTCAATTCACTATTCTCTATGTTTATGTTAACTGCTTACTCTTAAATTAACAAGTTACCGTTCCATCTTAGCTGCTTAGTTAAATCTTTTCTTTATAATGGTCTCTCAGCTGCCATATCTGCCTCAAGTTGCATGTCATTTTTTATGTTCATTATTATATGTCATAGATCCATCTAAGTGGTATGTGTTGATTAGAGGATGGTTTTCTGGCAGCCCAAAAAAGGTTGACTATTTGCAGGCACAACAATCCTCACATTAAATTAATACAGTTATTACGATACCCTTAATCATGTCAATAAAAGTTGCATTGTTCTTTTCAGTTCTAATCCCTTTTCCTTTTACCTTCTTCCGAGTAAAATGCTTGAAATGTCAACATCTTCAGGATTATTGTTAAAGGCTAGTACCCAAAAAAGGTTGACTATTTGTATTTGGGCTGTATTAGGGATGATACATGGAAGAGAATGAAAATATTGTAAGATTATGGTTAAAATGGAAGTTATAGTCAGATTACTCATACATACAGGTGAGTATGTGCGTTATTCGTTGCAAGAACGACTTAGTGGTTGATATTTTTCTTTTCTGGATTATGATATGAAATATAGGTGCCTTGTCGTGTAGACTCACCAGAAGACTGCGCTCGTCTTATTGGTAAATACTGAAGTCAATTTATTAAAGTATGGAATATGTTTGAATCATATAATAACACTCTTCTTCTCTTTTTGAATATTGCAAATTTGGCAGATGCAAACACGGAACTTGGTCTGGGAACTGGGATTTTAATTGCAGTTCCAATTCCAAGAGAACACTCCGCCTCTGGAAGCTTAATTGAGTCTGCAATACAAAGAGCCCTCAGAGAAGCTAGGTTAAAAAAAGAAAAAAAAATTGTGCATCAATCGTTTCCACGTTATTTGTTTTTATTTGTTTGAGCATCTTGTATTAATTATATTACATTGTAACTACACCTTAGGGGCAAGAACATTACAGGAAATGCTGAAACTCCTTTCTTGCTTGCGAGAGTGAATGAACTAACTGGAGGAGCTTCTCTTTCTTCAAGTATCCTTTTCCTAATTCTCCTCTTTTTATTTACTTATTTATTTATTTACTAAGCATCCTTTTCGTTAAACTGCAATATTTCATTGTACATGTCATAGGGATGATCAAAGTCAACCTGCATCAGTTTTTACTTATAAACTCGTTTCCTTTTCAATTATTATTATGCTCAGATGTTAATGTTCTTTAAATTATTTGAATGTTTTCTTGATGAATTTCTAGACATTGCACTGGTGAAGAATAATGCCCGTGTTGGTGCCGAAATTGCTGTAGCACTTTCCCACCTTAGAGAAAATTGTAACAAAGGTAAGGTTATGGTTTATTCATTTGTCGGTCAATATGTTAAAGTAAGGCTGTGTTAGGTCAAAAGGAAAGAAATGTATAACCTAAGTGAAGAAAATGGAGGGAAAGCAAATGATTTCTCTCTTGTTATGTTTACTATGGATTCCCTCCGGCCAACTTTCCATATTGGAACAGATAACATTGGGACTCTTTAAAGGATTTAAAATTTCTCACCCAATCTATTCCCTCCTATTTTCTCTCCGATCAAACAAGCATCGATCATAAAATCCTTTCACTAATCCTTTCCCACTTATTCTACCTCCACTTTTCCCTCCTACTAAGCTCTAATGGAAAAGGAAATCACACAAGACTTTGCCTATGCTATTTCTTTAAGACAAGCTAGTCAATGTCAACTAACACCTTGGAAGTTATGTCTACTCCCAATCAGCTTGTTCTGTTGAGCGTTGTCTGTATGGTATATATCTCATAGATGCTAGGCTGCCTTCTCTTTCTTGACGAAAACTGCTCTCTTTTGACAGGCAATTCGGACTCCAAATTATAGGCCCCAATATGCATTGTCTGAATCACGAAAAATCCCAGTTCCGTGTTCTAATTGGCTAATTGAGAATCGTGACGGGGCCATTTTATGCATGTCTACTGCTCCACTCTCCTTTTCTACATGTACTTTTCACGCGCGCATCAAGACCGTTGAGAAGCTTCATCCATTGGCCGAAATCATTCATGATTTTATTTTTATTATTTATTTATTTAGTTTGAATTAATTTATGGCATGATTTTGTCTGTTTTAACACTTTTTTGCACCAAATTTGTAAAATACTGAATAATTTAAATAAAAATATAGTTAAACAAAAATGCACTAAAATAAAATAATAACATATCAAATTAAATAAAAAATAAATTAAACAAAACGAAATAAAACTAATATACAATACAACAAAATAAGTTAAAAATCATTTTTTCGTGGTTTTAACTTCAGATCTTTTTATCGCTTTTATCTTCATTTCTTTTATGTCCTTTTTTTCTTCCTCTTTTTTTTTAACAATTTATATAATTGTTATTTTCAAGAAATCACGAGCGCAAAGTGCGCTATAAAGACTAGTATAAGTAATAAACAAAGAACAAACTCTCTAAAATATGTTGATGGGGTGTGAGGAGGACACTATAGTTGCAAGTTTAGGTCGGGTTCAATGGGTTGGTTTGAGGCTCACTATTAATGGGTTGGTTTGAGGCTCACTATTGTTTGCCAGGATAAGTTTTGGACTGGGCCGGGTTGAGGTTTTAAGCTTGAATGCTTATTCACCGGTCCAACCCAAGTGACCTCTTTTTAAAATTTTTTGTTTTTAAAAATACCTTTGTGAAACTCCGGCCTAGGCTTGTCTGGCTTTAGCACCAAGTTGGGCTGGCCATTTCCCCTTTAGGGTGCCTCATCCAAAATTTCCATTCCGGCCCCAGACCTGGGCCGGTTTGGGCTGCTTGAACTTTACTTATAGAGGACACCGATGAAGAAGGGGGGAAAAGAAAAAAGAAGAAAATCAGACTAGTTTTCTCATTCAGAAGTGAGCACATTCTGATTATGCTAGTGGGTACAATATGGCCGTCGCCACCGGCTTTGTGACCCTCTTTTTGTGGAGGATTGATCATTGTTATAGCGATGAAGACGAAGATGATTTGAGTTTTTTTTTTTTAATAATAAAAAAAAACTGAGTAAAGCTTTACGTGGAAAATGAACGATGGAGGAAGTTGGAGGGAGAAATCAGAGCCCTAAATGCCATCTGTAAACATTTTAGTGGTAACAACATGACTAGGAAATTCTATGGCCGTGCTTTAGCACCATTCCAATCATCTTAATTGGAGTGGAGCCTCACAATCTACCCTTGAATGGGGAAAATGCTCATCTATGAAAAGTTCTCCATCTCTCTGAAAATACTCTTGTTACCTTCGCATTTGTCGACCATCAAGTGATACAAATGCACAAAAGATATTATTATCAAGAACCAGGAAGGAAAAAAATAAAAAAAAAAGTGACTGATTCATGTCATCGACTCAATTCCAGAATCACAATAGACACAAGCAGCCTCACATATTAACACCATTATTACTACAAATATACTAATGAAAAACAATCAATTCATGTCAACACAAAAACAAACATGATTTTGAAGCCTGCAAAGTCATTGCTGCAATTCTGCACGGGTGCGAAGAATCAATACGAGGCTCAGTTTCACTACATTCTGTGACTCAATAAAAGTAAATATATGAAATGCTATTTGTCTTGACATTTTCTGTACACTACACATAGTGGAAGACGATACCGACTATCGGCAGGTTGTTATTACGCCTCTATACCTGTTCACTTCCTTTGAGAATGTTGTACTTGCAGAGTGGACATGTTGCATTCATCGTGAGCCATTTTACTATACATGCGGAATGAAAATGATGGTTGCAGGGGAGGGCATGGAGTTCTGCTCCATCTTCATATGAGCTGAGACATATACAGCACTCCTAGAAATAAAAACACCAAAACCACTAACTTCAGGAGGAAAAAGAGAGAAATAATTTAAAAAAAAAAAACACCAAAAAGATTGCACCAGAACTCTACTCATAAACGTTTAGTATCTTACTCATCTATCGACATTCAACTTCAAGTTTTCGTGAAACGAATATCTATAATTATTGGTCTCAAACCCAAGCTCTTACAGAATGAACCAAATGCTTTGGCTTTTGAACACTCAATGGAGGGCCCCAATATGAATCTTGAATGCAATATGGGCTATCACTACGTTTTCTTTTAGGAAAAAGAAATAATAAAAAACTTAGGTGACATTTGGTTCATGGATTCAGAACCATGGTTCATGATTTTAATTTTTGAAATTTAAATTTTTTGTGAGAGAAAAACACTGTAGCGAACCAAGAACCATGATCCTACACTAAGCCAGAACCCCTGAAACAAACGGAGCATTAGACTTTCTAACTGATAAAAGAGAGATTTTTAAGATTGAAGATTAACTAGAATTAGAAGAGCCAAGGATAATCATACCGCATCCTCTGGTAAAAGAATACGTTCGGTTGCTAAGTATCTGCTGCTTGTTTCCACGGGAACCATAGTTCCTTCTCCCAAGCTAGGCTTTTCATCATCACTAGATATTCGGAATCTATATTGTGGAAGAAAACGGAGGTCTGCTTCTGATGCACCTTCCTATTTGGTCACACAAGGAACAATGACAAGAGTAATGGAGGCAGGATGTTATATGCAAAATTAGTTTGGTCATAATTTTGAGTTCATCATACCTGCCCTGCAACAGCATAAAGAATTGCAATAATGCACGGCAAACAGCAACAGAGGGCAACTCCAATCAAACATGCCAAAACAACACAAAATACGGCAAACAAGACATCAAATGCCAGAAAAACCACAGTCAACCTGCAAAGTTTCAGAATCAGTATCATGCGGTTATCTTCTGCAGAAACTTCCATGCACCCAGCACATAAACAAGCATGTATGCATACCATGAACATACATACAACATGTCTCTAATATGTCTTAGAAAATTATGGATCAAGTGACAATGCAAAGATGCATCAACTGAATAGATGGTAGAAATTAGAGTGATATCCTAGCTCCTTTTAGAAATATTAGCAATGAGAATAAACAAATAGTGAAAACGGCTCATGTTATATTTGCGATAAATACAAGATGATGCTCAAACTGCAGGTTTCATGATTTCACAACTCAAAGATACAGGTATAAACCATTGCACCTGCCTCTTCATGAAGGTGAAATTTTATTAGAAAAAGGAAATGTAGACCCTTGAACATACACATATATTATAATACAAGGATTTATTTCTAGAATATTACATTGGTTTAACTTACAAAAAAAAAAAATTAGAATAGAATAAAAAAGAACCAAAGAAATAAATATATTGGTTTGAGCAATACCAGTACAATCTAGGAGCATTTTGTAGAAGGACATTGCCGCCGGAGACTACCCAATAGAAGCCAACTATCCACCAAAGAAACGACACCATTGTATTCACTGACTCGCATCGTTTTGTGAAACTAAGCCATATATAATAAAATCAGTCAGATAATCTGTTAAACATTCTAATAATGTTTCTGAAGCAGCAGGCAACATAAAATTTAATTGCATATGAGATTCCAAGAAAGTAGAGAATACAGAAACTGATATGATTCTGTAGTATAGGAATATACTTTACAGCTTTATAAGTGACAAAACGAATCACCTTTTATTTGCCTCAAACTCAACCAATATGATTCCTTGGAGTCAATAATATCTGCCCAAGGACTAGTCTTTTAACGTAGCAAGACTTTTGGGTACTCGAGTCCTTCATAACATATACCTCGCCATTGGAGCTTTATTTTATTCTTTTACAGTCCCCCATTAGTTCCATAAAGCAACTACTTGTAAAAGGAACTGTTTGCTTGAATTTGATAGGTATAGAAGAAACTTGGATTTAATATAATTAAAGTTATGGTAATATATTGTTTGGTTAATACCTAGCATACCCTAAACAGTTAACCCCATCATTAAAGTCTAAATAAATCTTGAGAAGAGGAAGAACCAAAAAGCAGGGGCATCCTGCTCCTTCCTGTAGGGTTTAGGGTAGCAACCCTGCAATTAAACTGTTCATCACTCAGCCAATCAAAATCATCTCTGTTGCAGTAATAATATGAATTTCCAAACAGTAACTTTTTATCATTCAGGTGAAGGCCATCACCACCACCTGTTTGGTTGAAAGGCATCACCAATTGCAGCTTTCCACAAACATTATGATAGAAAAAAACGCATCTTTGGCTGGTAAGAATAAAGTGACACAAAGGGGTCATTCTATGACATTATTATTATTTTTTTTAAAGGACAGCATTTTAGGAAATTGTTTGAGCCTTGAACACCTATGTTCATGGTAAAAAGGCACTAGCAGGACACTTACAAGTCAAAATGGGAACGAAATACATGGAAAGCTAAGGAAAACTTGAATTGGAACTCCATTAAGAAAAGTTGCCCTGAATTCAAAGGCGTGATTGCACTTGCACAACACACAAAGTGAGCTGACAAGAACATTCCTACTTGAGCAAAGACTTCAACGTCACATCCTGCACTTCAAAACCCTAATATTTCTAAGATATAATTTTGGTTTATAAACTTTGAGGCTGTTCAACCTGGACTGTTAGGCAGAAGGGAATTATGAATTTCGGGGTAGTTTCGTTGAGGACAAACTAGATTCTGTAGAGTTAAACAAAACACTCTCTTTAACTAACCAACTTCCTCTTTCTCTTTTTGGTTTAAGGTCAGAACACATATCCAATCAAATATGCTATTGGATACCTAATACAAGTGGGTAATAAATCCAAGATAATTAATTATGGATTATGGCCTTAGCCAAAGACATAAGGTTGTGTTTGGTAAGAGGAAAAGAAAATAGGAAGGAGAGAAACATATATATGAACTAGATGAGGGCGAGGGTGGGGGAAATGGAGAGTAAGAGAGGACCTTTCTCTTTGCAGAATTTGAAATCCCTCACCTAATTCGTTCCCTCTCTTTTTCTCTCCTGCCAAACAATTACTGCACCGTTTGGTTAGTGGATTCGTGTCATGATTCGTGATTCGTTATAGTATTTTCTCTCATAAAAAATACACGTAAATCGAGAATAATTCTGAATCTATTGTCCTAAAATCCTTCCACTAATTCCCCCACCCCACTCCTTTCCACTTTTCCTCCTACCAAATAAGCTCTAAGAGTGTGGTATACTATAATTGGCTTCCCATTTTTAACTGTTTGCCGAATTTGAACCCTGCTACACAGATAATATACAATAGAAAATGTTGTACTTTTTCGGCCTAATTTCTAAACCAAATTTGTTTGCCTCTATTTTCTCACTTCCTACCAAAAATTTTCAATCTCTATTAAAAGCCAAAATTCCATTTAGACAAAAAGAAGCTAGAATTCGCACCTGGATTGACCAGAACTCTCTGAATTCCTCTCGACCTCGTCCTCCTCCTCGGTGTCGTTTGCAGCATCGAATCTTCCCGGCGACTCCTGGCTCCTCCGTCTCCGAGCATTCCTCCTCCGATATTCGAGAGAAACCAGCGCAACATGAACAATGCACTGGAGAGCATAACCGCAAATCCAGACACGGATCGGCGTGTTCGGCCTCTCGTTCGCCGTGATTACGAGCATCGCCATTGACACCACCACGAAGGCCGTGTTCCACATCATGTCCAAAGCCACCACCGGCTTCGAGTACCCCCAGTCTGCGCGTCGCTCCTCCAGCTCACGCGCCGCCGTCTCCCGTACCAGCATCGACGCGCCGCGCCGCCCCGTCGCCCTCCCCAGCAGCGCCGCCAGCGTGACCGGGCGGGCGGGAGAGATCACCGGCTCGGAAGGCTCGTCGCCCTGGCGTGGCCGGAGCAGCGGTGCGTGGGACTCACCGGAGGCTTCCGTCGACATTAATAGCGAATTTGAACAGCGCAGCGAAAAAGGAAAATCCTAGAGAGACATAATTAGTGGGATAATTCGTCGAATGAATAGAAACTACAGTAAATTCGCCATTTCTACCGCTTAATTATGTGTTTGTTTGTCCAGAAAGTGAGGGAAAACAAAACAGCGGTTTTAGAATGACTATCGAGAGAGAGAAACGAAGGGAGACGAGAACAATTCGTAAGGATAGACTCGTTAGAAAGAGAAACTGTAGGAATTTTCCTTTTGTAAGGATTTTCTAGGTGTTTGTTTGTCGAGAAAGTGAGAGAAAAAAGTGGTTTAGCAGAACAGAGTAAAGGAAAAGAGAATAAAGGAGTAGAACCGTTTGGAGGAAGAGAGAATTGGAAATTGCCTTTTTTTTTTTTAATAGACGTTTTATGCGTGTTTGGTTGTCGAGAACGTGAAAGAAAAATTGGTGGTTTATTTTCCGGGAAAATTGGGTTGAGCGGTAGGGGTATAGATATATAGAATGGTAGATGAGAGCGAAACAGAGAGACAGTTCGAGAGAGAGGACGGGGCCGGGGGACGTATTTCCGTCCTCCTGTCTTTTGACCCGCTACTTGAGCCGTTGCTTCTCCATTATTTAATTAAGTCAATTATTTTTATCCAAATATCATCATCTTGTTATAAGATTGGTTATTTTAAAATATTATAATATTGTGATTATGATTATCATCTTGTTATATTCTAGGGATAATTGCATTGGTGCACCCAAAATTATCAATGTTTAACATTTTAATACAGTGCCAGAATTTAAATGAAAATTTTGATGACATTATGTCTCATATGAAAAAGACCTTATGAATGGTGATAAATTCGGGATTTAGAAATGTAATTCATCCTATATTTTATGTTTTAATGATTATAAAATTGTTTTCATAATTTTAAAAAATATATCTCTCACACACACACACGCATATCATCTAAGTACGTGACATTTTTTTTAAGAGAATGTTTAGTTGGAGGATTCAAACCATGATTTGAATCCTGGTTCATAATTCGTTACAGTATTTTCTCTCATAAAAAATACACGTAAATTAAAAATAATTCTAATCACATGATTTTAATCCATGAACTAAACGTCTCATAAATGATGTATTTACACTTTTATTTTCCTTTACATTATTTTAAATGCCAAGATAAATTAATGCTTCAAAATATTAAATTTTAACATTAAAATATAATTCAAACGTAATTACTTTTATAGTCTTGCTGCCCGCCGCGTGGGGAAAGTAAGCGCTTCGAAAGCGTGCTACAAAAGGTTGTTGTTATGTTGGCCCTTCCTATGAAACAGCCCCCTGTTACTGTACACATAGAGTAAAGTTAAGGACATTATGGTGTTGGTCACCACATGATGTGGCCCTCCTACTGGCAGCTGATTTGTTCTTTTGTGGGACCCATGAAAATTAATTAAATATTCTTTTTGAAAATTGATGACTATTTAAATTTTTAATTTGAGTTAAAATATAATTTTATGTAAAAAATTTTTATTATAATAAAAAAATTAAATTTAATTATTTTTAATAATATTTTACTATAATAAAATTTAAATTTTAAATTTAAATAAATAAAATAAACAGCACTTAAATTTCTTTTTATTGTCTGTGGACCTACCGCTAACTCTTCTCTCCTTTCTCCTTCTTCATCCACTCCGTGTTTGCACTTCTCTGCAGCATGCAATTGCGATTGTTGGACTTTAAAAAAAAAATGCAATTGTTGGCTTAAAAAAGGAAAAAAAAGGTGAGGTTTCTAATTAAAAAAAAAAAAATAGTGGGATGCTATACTAATTTTCCAAATTCATTTTTAGCAAAACGGATTAGATTTTTTTGAAACGCCAATTGTAAAAATTAATTGATTTTGATTTTAATTTATATTCCAAAATGAACATGAAATGGGTTTCGATTTTGATTTTGATTATAATTTCTTCTACCCACGTAAGGCGACTGGACGCCGTCGCTGCCCAGACCATGCGAGGGCTTACCGGAAATAAACCTCAGCCAAGTCCTGGGGAAAAAATTTCCGGCAAGATTCCTGCGATTTTTTTCTTTTCTGGGGAAAATTTTCTGCACCTTCTTTTTTTTTTTTGTTCTTTTGCACTCCTGTCTAGCAAAACTCAAAGCGCCCAAATTGCTAAAGATTCCAATCACGAGAAAATATACTCTGCTTTTCAAAACGCCTTTTGCATTCTAGAATAGAAGAGTCTCACTCTGGATTTTCTCTCAAAGACTCACGGTTTTACTGAAAAAAAGAGGAAACAAAACCCAGAATCATACCGGGAAGAGATCCCCAAACCCTCGAAAAAAAGAAAGAAAGAAAAAGATCAAAGAGACTCTGAAAAAAAAAGGGAGAAAAACCACTCTCTTTGATGGGTATTTTAGCAACCACAAATTATAGAAGAATTGAAATCAAGGAGGTTGAACAAAGATTCGAACTTATGAATTTGTTTCAATAAAAAAAAGTTTCCAGAATTTTCTAGTGGAAGATATGGGCTCTCGTTGCCGTCAGGGAGGAAGACGATGAATTGTTAGAGGTGGTGGTGAGAATCCGTACTGTGGCAAAACAATCTGTTTGTGTTCCTTTTTTTTTTTAAAAATTTTCTTTTTTATTTTTCATTGTTCTTAATGCAATTAGACAATGTAACTGCAAAACTTACATGTCAGATATAACTATTGTACTAAGAAAAAGCGTACGAAAAAACTAGTAAAACAGGGGTACGAGTAAAGCAGGGGTATCTGTGGTGCCCCTCACCACTTGACCTGGCTTACAGGTGGCATTGGCTTTTATTCCAACGTGGCATGTGACTTTTTGAGCACTTTTTTTGGGACCCACTATTAACATAAAAAATTTAATGACCCGTTTAATTCGTTAATTTAAATTTTTAATTTGAGTTGAGATATTATTTTATGTGAGAGTTTTTTATTGTAATAAAAAAATTAGATGTATCTATTTTTAAAATTTTTTTACTATAGATGTATCTGTTTCTAAAATTTTTTTACTATAATAAAACTCAAATTGGTGAAATAAATAAAGCATAAATTTTAATATTTAACACTTGTAACATGTTAGATTTTGATTATAATTAGCTGGAGGTGGTTAATTTTCTATTAAATAATTACAATATTGTCAGCTGACTTTCAACATTTGCAACAAAAAGAAAGTTGCAAATCTTAAAATATAAGTATACTTTTCCAATATTTTTTAAAGAAATTATTTCAGAGTATTTTATGTAGAAGGGATTAGAAGCACAAGAGCTCGGTCTAAAAAAAATTTGGAATGATGATTCGTTTTCAAAATTACACGAAAGTATTTTGATTTTATCAAAACCCGGAAGTGTCAATATAGTATAAGACAATTAATATAATAGTATAAGAAACCACTAGATTACAATATGATAACTTTCTATTTTTTTTTCTTTTTTGAGGTATATTTTAATTCCAGCCTCTTAATATAGTTATTTTTCATTTTCCAGAGAATTTTTCAATTTGAGGTCTCAAGACTATTGTCCATGGAACACTTTGTGAATAGTTTATAGTTGGGTTATAAGATATATAGCACTCTGGTTAGGGACACGGTTTTTATTTTTTATTTTTTATTTTTTAAGGAGAGAATTGCATAGCAAATCAAAGGAGTACAAACACCAATACTAACACAAATGTCTTTAAAACATAAGATAATTGGACCCTCAACATTAACTGGTATCACCAATAAATTCGAATGAAACACTTAAGAGGTCAAAACGCATGTGAGATTTTACAATCAGAAAACCAAAAAGACACAGTAAATATCGAGCTAAGAAATAGCTCTTTCAACAAAACCAATATAATTGGTTTTATGGTTTTACATTTGAATTTTCCATTTGTAAATTCTTTTTTCATTATAACTTAATTTAAAAGAGGGTTTATATTTATGCACACCGGTAGAGTTTTAAGTTGTCTAATCCATATCAGTTTAAAGCAGTTATGTGACTATTCATTTTTTATAATGGGATAAAATTATTTTGTTACCCTGTGTTATAACAAAACATACTTTTGATATCCTGTATTTTTTATAATATTAAAGCGGTACCTTAACGTTTTCAAAAACATCTTTTTGATACTCCAAAACTAATTTTTGATATGTAAAATGACATTCCTACATTTTTTTATTTAATTAATTAAAAACTAATAGATCTAGGAAAAAATCATGAGCTTTTTGATTTTTTACTTTCTTTTAAATATTTTAATGTTTCAAAATATTTTTAGATTTTCTTTTAAAAAATACTAATTTCTATTTAATTGATGAGAAAGATAATTTAGACATTACATATCTTCAAAATTAATTTCAAGGTATCCAGAAGATGTTTTTAAAAAAGTGAAGGTACAATTTTAATATTATAAAAAATACAGAATACTAAGAACATATTTCGTTATAATATAAAGTACCAAAATGATTGTATCCCTTTATAATTTTCAAGGAAATTTTGATATGATTGATAAAATCTAGACATTATCTTAGAAAGCTCCTTTATTTAGCATCTTATTTTATATATAAAAAAAAGTAACCATGCGCCTTTTCTTTCCCCATCCCAACCCAAAAAAAGAAAAAAAAAATTGCTATCGACAAAACTTGAACACATAACTCAATACGGCCAATTGAGCTAGTGCAACTGTACTCTTTTTTTTTTTTTTTTTTGGCTGAAACGAGTCCAACTGTGCTGGTTTTTAGTTAATTCAACATAAACTAGAATCCATGTTGTGCTCTTTCATTCTCCACAATTACTGTTTAATTTTTTGGGAGAAAGAGAAAAATATGCCAAGACTTGAGATGAATTAAAATTAATAGGTCAATAGTTTACTTAAGTTAATAAATATGCCAAATTATTATTTTTGTCCATAACTTGTCTGGTTATGAACCATAACTTGACAAGTTATTGTCCATTTTTATCTATAATTTGTCCGGCTATGACTTATCAAGTTTGTCCATAACTTATCTGGTTATAAACCATAACTTGACAAGTTATAGCCTATTAATTTCTATAACTAAAAGTTAGCCTATATACTTTCTTAAACTTTTCATATTGGCATATTTTCTACTATTTCCGTTATTTTTTCTCTTCTTTTGATTATAAATTCGTAGATTAAATGTTGAGTACCAATATAAAATCGCTCGTGTAAACCTCTTTTTTTTTTTCTTTTTAATTTAAGCCGCAAGTCATCATAGAAGAAGAAAGAAAAGTGTAGTCAATCAAGGGCATTAGAGTTTGGTTGAATCAAACTTTCCTCAACAATATAAAATCACTTTTCAATATTGATATATTTTCTATTATTTTCATTATTTTTTCTCTTCTTTTAATTATAAATTCGTAGATTAAATGTTGAGTACCAATATAAAATCGCTCGTGCAAACCTCTTTTTTTTTTTTTTTAATTTAAGCCGCAAGTCATCATAGAAGAAGAAAGAAAAGTGTAGTCAATCAAGGGCATTAGAGTATGGTTGAATCAAACTTTCCTCAACACAATAGATATGTTCAGATGAAAGAGTCAACAAGACCATTTATGAAAACTTTTTTCATGGTATCCCTTTTTTTTTTCAGTTGAATGGTGAGAATTCAAATCATCATTATTTTTTTTTCAAAGCCATTTTTGGCTTTAGAAAATACACCTACATTTCAGAAGGCAAAGTCGGAAAGCCTTAAACACTCAACTAACATTGACATACATATAACATTAAATACGGTTTAGCTTAGGACTTTTACCAACTGGTAAATTTAATGAATGAATGCAACAAATCTCAGCAGAAAAGGATTCCTCTTGGCTCGAAAATTTGTTCGGATAGTTCATCAGATGATAATCAAGAAGTTCCGCGATTAATACAAGAGTCTGCCCCAAGTAGACCTTTTACGGAATTCAAGTCAAAGTTTTTCAAGATTGAAATGATCTTCCAAGCAATCTTCTCATCTTCCACTGACCAAGTACAGCAACAAAACAGTGATTCAGATTTATTTTGAGCACTATCAGTTATCCGGTAAGGGCAGCTGTCCTTTGAACAAATAGACAAATGAAATGACTCTACTTGAAGGTGTTCTCCAAAATCTCGGACATTTCCATCAGAAAATTCATCACAAAGAACTGCAAAAAATAAACGATGCCAAAAACATCTATCGGTTATGCACAGAACATTATTCACCAAAGTGTGATCTGCGCTCTCTGAGTTTTTAACATGAATGGGGCAACAATAAGCATGCTGAACAATGTGCTGCTTTTCTCCCAACATGAGCAAAAGCTCGTCTTGGTGTACAACCTTTGCTTTTTTCCCTTTCTCCATAACGAAGATCCCCTCCGCTACCCTTTCATCAGTCACTTGCAAACACAGCATCAAGTTTTTAGCTTTGGAAGCCGACTCATTTCCATCTCTCGAGCTGCTTTTCACAAACTTGAAGTTTGGATTCATACAGCTTTTGATGAATGCGTCTGAGGCTAACGCTTTTACGAATTGGGTCGAGGGAATTGACACAGTTTCGTTATTTGCAGGGTAATAGCACTGGATACCAAGTTCAGATTGAATTCTTCCTTTCAAAGTAGCCATCTTTGGCTTCTCACCGTGAACGAGTATCACATGCTTAGGAGAGAGAAATTTGAGGAGGTCCATGATGCCTTTGGCATCAGTATGAGGACTGAAAGACAATTGATGAATCTGGTAACAAAAAATCGGCTTGGGACAGTCAAACATTCATGTTCAACAGAAAATATAATCAGTTTAGACACTAATGTAACTAAAGTAATAGGATTAGATAACTAGATTAATCAATTAAAATAGATGAAAATAAAGCGTGCTCCAAGGAACTGGAAAATAATGTAAAGTAAATGACAGAAAATAAATTGCATAAAATGTAAAAAAAAAAAAAAGCTGTTGGAAATAGAATATTTGGTAGTAAATGTACCGAATCATAGGACTGTGAATAGGAAGATTATTATAGGCTGTAAATAAGAAGATTTAGTCAACTAGAATAAAAGGTAATTACTTAGGATGATTTGCGTTTATGTACTTTCCTAGAATAGCTTCTTAGTTTCTTTATATAGGTATTCTGTAAAACCTTAATACGGTGCAGTAAAGATAATTCTTTATACCTCTCATATTTGCTCATATGGTATCAGAGCGGGAGGTCCTGAGTTCAAACTACCGTAATTGCATTCTCTATTCCCATTTAAATTGTCATCACGTGTTGGGTCTTTAATATATCTCAGGCTTAA